AGAGGTGAAGGGAGAACGCTTGGACTGACATATCTGCGCTCTACTTTTGGGAAAGATTAAAACACTTTCTATGGCATTGTCTTAACTTGCTTCGATCTCTTTATAGAAGTGTTTGCTTTGTATGTTCTTGGAATCCTCTCTTAGCATCCAATACACTGCGTTCTGGTAACCTCTCTAGCTGTAGTGTATAGTGCGTTCGTGCGTCTGTCGCAACAGTGCAGGTTCCTCAAACTTCGGCAAAGTAGTAATAGATTTGCGGCTGAACTCACTTCTATCCTTGAAACAGTATCCAATTCTAAACATTCCTGAAATTATTCCCTGCAGTTTGAGAGACTACGCGGAAATATATCCTCAGGTCTTGTTTTACCGTTTTTTGCAGATATGGATAATAGATTGCTATTTTATCCAACAAGTCAACAAAGGTTTTTCCGAATCGATGCGCATAAAATGCAGATGGAAGCCAAAATTGCTCTACTAAAGTTTTCTTGGTCGTACAAACATGGTAAAAATTCCGAATGAGGGGAGAGAGCGTTTTAGTGCTTTAGGAGCTCTTTCTAAAGCAAAAACATACCAAGAATAACCTTATGTACAGCGATCCGCTTTTCCACTGGTATGCGTACATGCTCAAGGATCTTATCAAATTCGTTTACAGTCGTCTCGGTACCGTTTTCTCCTCCGTGATAGGTGAGAAACAAATAGTCATCGATGTATTGTTTGAAATTGCAGTACCTTAAAGTTAACGCACTGAAGTGAACAAAGCTGTCCAGGACCTACCATGTCTGTGGTGCAAACTCCAATACGTAAAACTTATTGATTTGTGATGTGCTGCTATCCTTGTCATATGCCAAAAGAATTTCATATAGTTTTTCAAGAAAACACTGCATTTCACGGTGGCAGCCAAAGCACTGCCGTTCTTCGGTGTAGTGATCATCTTCGCTAAAACCAACATCACAATAGCACATGCCAGCTCCTTCTGAAGGATCAGCTCAAAGAAAAGGAAACTGAATAAAACTAAACTCACATCATACAGTTGTAAAAATAACTGCTTACAAATCTATCGACCGGATGTCGAAATACGGTGAAAAGTGTTAGATTATTAATATTTTTAAGAAGCTGGTACTTTGTACTACTACCATCGGATTCGTCATTGAAAAGCCTAGGACAGAAGAGACTTGGGCAAAGAGGCTATCAGCTACTAGTACAACATTAAAAGACACAGAAGACAGCCATTCTGAGCTCAGAATCTGCGAAATAGTGCGCATAACAAAAGATGATCGGTTGGAAATTATTAGAAAGTATAACATAGATGAGTGCAGTGAGCATCTTACTGTTTTTATGTGGACTCTTATTTCAAGGGATGCATTTTGACGTGAATAATCTAATAAGAGCGACCGCAGCGCTTACGACCAACAGGGTAAGCTAGTTGCTCGAGTTTTTGCATGGCCTTACCTTTTCGAAATGTACTGGATTTTCTTAGTATGATAGCAAAGAAATTAGAGCACTGTTTTAAGACCAGGTTATAATTTCATTGACAACTTGAACCTAGCTAATCAAATAGATGAGTAAGGATTTATAGCGCAGCACTAATTTGTGAAATGAACACTACTAAAACGTATTTAAAGGTAGTGTACCACGAAATTTAAGTTGCTGCACATTTAGCACCGATCGACGCTTTTTGGTACCTTCTATCCAATGCAGAAATTTGAAGAGGAAATTCCCAGCCGTTTTCGAGAAAAACCGCTGTACAGCTCTTGTTTAAATGCTGATGTACGAGTTAATATACCGATATGATGTGTTAAGGCAGAATGAATGAATGGTTATTGGCTTAGTAGAGCTGTTTTGACATGTTTTTGTTTAGCATCGCTCGTACATCAGCTTCAAAAGCGA